TAAAATATCCCTTTTTAGTATTTAATCTTAATTGACCCATATGTCAGGGAGGGTTAGCTAGTTTTATTTCGTCATTATACCAGCTTCCAAATTATGTTCAGCTTTAAGCAAATAAAAATTTAAGGAAATTTTTTGAAAAAAAAATCTGAGCGTGGAATGTCGAAAGCATTCTTTCGGTCAACAACATCGGCTGCAAAAAAATAAAGCATTTATATCAAAGAATGCTTAGAAGAAAGCCTTAGAGCATTCATCGATGAGTATCATCAAGGTACTTAAGTTACATTTTTTGGCCAGATTTAGCTAGTGTTAATAGGTCTAATGAGGCCATATCCTGGATAGATGAAAATATCAATTTCGTACCGGTTGATAAGAATCCTCCTAATGTCCCCAAAGGCTGGTCAACTGAGACTTCTGAGTATTGACTCAGAATGTATATGAGGGTGGATGGGAGGCCATATGTTCACAACAATTGATTAGATGTATCAATGCGTGTTTGAATTGAAAATTCGTACAACATTTTTACAATCACTTATGAAGGGTATCAAGACAAAATTGAGAATAATAGCCAACAAGGGATCGGTTTATAAAAGATAATTTTGTTAAAATAAATATTGTATTAATTTAAAAAAAAAAAATTAAAAAATTTTTGCTTTAGTTTTTTTTTAATTACAAAGCTTTGATTTTTGTTTAACTAATTTCTCCTCTCCCGTTATTTACATTGAAAAGCAAGTCATTTTAGCAAAGTGCAAGGTTTTTCTATACCACTGCATGTAGTTCTTTGTGCATTTACAATTTTTTCTGAGATGCCAAAAACAATAATTTTACATAGTACATCATTGTACCTAGTATTTATATCAAACCTATCATATTTCCAATATGGATATGGTTCATGGGAATCGTTTAACTCATTTATAAATATCTATTAAATCTTCAGCGTAGCCTAAAAAAACTAAACTTCCTACAGATTTCAAGCAGAATATAGCCGTCATTGTTGATAACGGTTTATAGGCACGTGTTGCGAAACAAAGGTTAAATGGCTTTAGTCAAACGACGTGTTCGTAACAAACGCCGTTGTCAAATATTGTCCGCGTCTAGTTGCTAAATCTCTCCCTATTTTATATTAACCAACTGTTAAAAAGTAAATACATGTTCATTATAAATTAAAAGTTCCACTTTTTAAGTTCCTATTACATTAATATTACTAAAAAATACATTAATAAATAAAGACAATATTTCTGTCTGACAGACAAATGAAGACAAAATGACAAATGAAGACAAATGAAGACAATATTTCTGTATTTCAGCTAGGGATGGCAAAAATCCCGGAAATTTTAAATCCCGGAATTTCGGGATTGAGAAATTTGTCCATGGGAAATCCCGGGATTGAATAGGAAAAAACGCAAATGCAATTGAATACTTTTTAAGCACTTATCAAACACTTAAAAATTAATAATTTAATGATAATTTATAAGTATTATATAAAACAATACTTTAAAATGGTCACACAGTATAAATAAAAATAAAAATTAAAAAATATAAATATGTATGACGTTAAAAAAAACTTTCATAATTCACTCATTTGAAAATTAAAATGAATGGATATAAAACTGGAATTAAAATCGCGCATACTTTTGGAAGCAGAAAATTCAAAATTAAATTAATGTATACCTTCTATTAACAATTCTTGCACTTTTTACCAGCAAGCGCCTAAACTTTATCTATTTTTATAATATACTAGTTTTAATATAATACTATATATTATATATAGCATAATATTTAAACTAGTATATTATAAAACATAACAAAAATATAAGCGCTTGCTTGCGAAAAGAGCAAGAGTTTTTAATAAAAGTTATACTTTAATTTAATTTTATTATATATTTTTAATTTTATATGTATATATATATATATATATATATATATATATATATATATATATATATATATATATATATATATATATATATATATATAAACAAACATATATACATTTTGCAGACAAGCAATGTTTTGATTTTTTTTTTTTTTAGTAAAATGTAGAAAATGAGAGTTTTAAAAGGAAAACATTGCAAAGAAAATAAATGATTACTCAACCAAGCAGCTACTATACCAAAGACGATATAAAAATTACTAAACTATAATTATAAGCTTAAACTTTATTAACCTTTCCTTTTTTTTGACGATCCTGAAATTCCGGGAAATTTCGGAGACTAATCCCGGGATTTCGGGATGAACATTTTTTACGAAATCCCGGGATTGCCATCCCTAATTTAAGCTGTCGCAGTTTAATTAAAAGAGGTTAATTTCATAATAATAAAATTAAAAAAAACTTTAAAAAAGCATGAATTAATGAAACTAGTATAAAAAAAATTTAAAATTAAATACACAATTTCATATATATCTTACACACTGTTACATAAATAATATGTTAATATAAATTAACTGCAATTAACAATAACATTTAAAAAAATATTTGAAGTTCATTATCGTTGTTATACATCTTCTTAAGCATTTATTTTTCTTACTGCTTATTCCCTAAAATAAATTTATGATTAGATTACGATATGATCTCACACAGCCATTTGTTTTAGATATAAAACTTAAAGTTGAACGACCAAGTAGAAAATTAAAAAGTTAAGTAATAAAAAAAAATTGTACAAGTTATCTATATTCAGACTAACTTCTGTCAAATTCCGTACATTACGTTTTATTTAATAATACTCTAAATCATCTGCTTGTATTTAGAATTGATAAAAATTATACCTTCATCTCTCAAAATCCTCAACGCATTCTATGTAAACAACGTATTCTAAATAAACAAGAAAAAACACACCTTGAAAGCAAGAATTTCAATCAGAAGATTATAAACTACCAATATAAAAATACTACTCACACACAAGGTATCAAAAAGTTTCTGTCTGGAAGGTATTTGTTTTAAAGCACATGAACCACGTCAAGGTTCCTTCCTATTCACATGTACGATTTTTTTAATGCAGAACGATTGAAAGCATATGACAGAAAAATACACAATCAATTAGCAAACTGCTTATTCTTGCACATTCTCATTTCTATTAATAAAACAAAAATAAAAGAACAGGGAGTGAAATAAAAATGGACTTTAAAAAAACTCTAAAAAAAAAAGCATAAACTTTTAAATATATTAAAAGTTGAAAAAGAAAATTTTTGATATGATAATAAATTAAGATGTCAAACTTCTAGAAAAATTCCAATGCAAGGTTTACAAACAGTCTATATCGAATGTGATTTCTCTTCTATGACAGTTTAGGGCTCATTTTGATTAGAAAATTTTAACCCAAGCTTTTTAACTCAGATGTTTGCTGCTATGTTGATATGCCTATTTTGATAAATGGACACACTCTTACAGAGTTTTCTCGTTTGTTCTTTTTGATTACCTTTTACTATTCACCACTAATGGAAACTATAAATCTAATTCTTCGCTTATATTTAAAAAATGTATGCACAACCTATTTCTTATTGTATGGAAAATTGTTGTCATTATTAGACTGATTCTTCTAATGATACCCTTTATCATTCAGACAAATTTAAAAAACGCATTACGAATGTAGTTGGACCAAATCAAGCTCCTAATGTTTAGCCTTAATAGCCCCATAGACAATAAGTCTATTACTTTTTTCGACAAATACATTCATGCTTGCTGCTTATCATTTTGATAAGCAGCAAGCATGATTGTATTTATCATTGCAAAATCATCATTTTGCAAAGTCGCATTCTTTTACTGTAATTGTTCTTTCACTGTTTACAGTTATAACACAAACATAAGACACAATAAAAATCTAAAAAGTATTCAGTTGAAAAGGAATAACATTATAGACAACTAAGCCACACGGGTGTGTAATAATGGGCGCAAAATTGTAAATTTGCAACATCTTTAAAACAGGTTAGAGTAATATACGAAAATGAAAATGTGCAAGTTACTTCTATAAGTATTACTCCATCAGAAAAAGATAGCTCCATATAGAGCACTTTATCTAAAAAGTGTATTTTCAGTGGATGTATTTTAGTGGACTAACTGGAGAGCCGCTAAAGTAACAGACCACCAGAGGTTTAAACAGGACACAAACAAACATACAGTAACTAAAAGCTAAATCATGCGATAATGGTGTAGTGGTAGAGCGCTCGCTTCATAAACGAGTGGTTCCGAGTTTGATCCCCACCACGTCCCTGGTAGTACCGCACTCAACTCGTTTCTCCACGCAGAGGCCTTGTTCGTCAAGGTTTGTGTTTTGGAGTTATAGAGTTGAGAGAGGATTATAGCCACAAAATAAGTAGCCTCCTCGTCTGTAGTGGCCTTCTCGGCCTTGAGGAGGTGAAATAAAATTAAAAAAAATAAAAAAAATCAACACCACGGCATAGGTTTAAACACAACACAAACATTCATATAGTAACTTATGAGTGAGTTAATATTGCGCCAGAGGTAAACAGAACACAAAACATTATACAGTAACTTACAGGTGAGTCAACACCATGCTTAAACAGAACAAAAATACATACAGTAACTTACTGGTGAGACAATACTGCGCTTGAGTTTTAAATAGAACTTAACAAACATACAGTAACTTACTAGTGAGTGAATGTTGCGCCAGAGGTTTTAACAGAACACAAACAATTATACAATAACTTATGTTTAAGTCAGCATTGTGCAGGAGGTTTAAACCAACAAACAAACAAACATATAGTAACTAATGTCTGAGCCATTATCACGTCAGAGGTTTCCACAGAACACAAACATACATACAGTAACTTATGGATGAGTTAACGTTGCGCTAGTGGTTTAAACAGAACACAGACAAACATATAGCAACTTACGGGTGAGTCAACACCGCGCCAGAGGTTTAAACAGAACACAAACATATAGCAACTTACGGGTGAGTCAACACCGCGCCAGAGGTTTAAACAGAACACAAACAAACATATAGCAACTTACGGGTGAGTCAACACCGCGCCAGAGGTTTAAACAGAACACAAACAAACATATAGTAACTTACAGATAAGTCAACACCGCGCCAGAGGTTTAAACAGAACACAAACATACATACATACAGTAACTTACATGTGAGTCGAAATTGCGCTTGAGGTTTAAACTAAACACAAACATAAATATAGTAATTTACGTGTTAGTCAATATTGTGCCAGAGGTTTAAACAGAACACGAACATACATACCGTAACTTAAATGTGAGTGAATATTGTGCTTGAGGTTTAAACAGATTATAAACATACAATTAGTATGCTTATAATCTGCTATATAAGTGAGTCAATATTGCACCTGAGGTTTAAATTAAACACAAACATACATAGAATAACTTACAGGTGAGTCAACATTGCGCTAGAGGTTTAAACAGAACACAAAAATACATGCAGTAACTTATGGGTGAGTCTATATTGCACTTGAGGTTTAAATAGAATATAAACAAACATATAGTAACTTATTAGTGAGTCAATATTGTGCCAAAGGTTTAAACAGAACACAAACAAAATACAGTAACTTAAGGGTGAGTCAACATTGCGTTAGAGGTTTAAACAGAACACAAACAAACAAAGAGTAACTTACGAGTGAGTCAACATTGTGCAAGTGGTTTAAAATGAACACAAATAAACATACAGTAATTTTTGGGTGAGCCAACAGCGCCAGAAGTTTAAACAGAACTCAAACATACATATAGTAACTTACCAATGAGCTTGACATTATTTTATATACTTGGTTTTTCCTTACATTTATTTTTATAGTTCCTCTAATAATTAATAATTGTAAGCTGTTATGCATTCACCAGATAAAGCTGACCTAAAAATGAATTTATAAAAAGCATTCAAAAATTATTCTTTGTATATTTAGAGTCTTTTAATAAATCTACAAACTCAGTTAAACTATATTGTTAAGACAACTTGCAGCTTCTTTCCATGCTTATATTTAAATTCCTGTCTCATTCTGTTATTCACAACACATTAAAGGGATCCCAAACTCCCAACACATGTTGTGTTCATATTAAAGATAATGTTAAAAAAAAAGGTTTGAACCAAATTTTTTGGATTAAAAATAAATAATGAATGCATACCGCAAAAAACAAATGTTTTTTTTGAAGCTCGTCTTCTCCATTTTTTTCAACTACTTGGAGTCTTCAAATTATGCGTCGCAATCTACAGACTTTGGCAATTCCTTTGAAGCGTGTTTAATTCATTAAAGTTTTAGTATTTGACGTCACGGTAGACTTAACAAAAGAAAAGTCTAATCATACTAAGCTGCGTTTTTCTACTGTAGTATTTTTTTAACATACAGCAAAACAAATTTATTTGTATTATTTTTCCAAACATCGTAAAAAGTAAAAACAATAAATTATTTTTATTTTATAGGAGCAACTTATTTTTTACAGATATCTTAATAATTTTTAGATTTATACATCTAACTTATATTTCTTTAATTATTTAAATTAAAACAAATATTAAAGCTTTACTTACCAATCTCATGATTTTCATACGAGTATTTTACATTATATAGAACGTTTTATATATGGTCTCTTATTTTTGCGCAAGAGAGCGCAGTATTATATATTCTGATTCTTAATTATTTTTATTTAAACAATGGGAACTACTTTCTAACTTCTCTGGTTATTTTTACGCTATGACAATTTTTTGTTTTTTCGTTGAAAAAAAGTATTTATTAACAATTATATTCATAAACTGACAGTATTAATTAGAGATATTTAATGAACTGTTAACTTTTTTTATTATAAAATTTTTTTGATCACACTGATTTAATTTAAATTGTTAAATTTGCTGAATTGGATACGGATAAAAAGGAAATACCATTTTATTTTACATTTGATTTTTGATAATGAAATTTTTAAAATGTCAGCAACTCCATACCAATTAGAACCCGTTAAGATTATGAAAAAAAAGTACAAGAATACACTAAACAATACAGTTGACAGTAGTATCAGATATGAAAATTTGTGAAAGGATATGTGAGATCCTGATTTTGCATTAAAAGTACAATTAATTGCAACACAAGTCGGCATTATAAATTTTGATTATAATTTTACTGTTTAATATTTTATAACCATCAAATAAAAAACATGAAGTTTGTATATTTTCGCCCGTTTTATACAACTAATATTTAACAAAATTACGGACAAATTATTAATAAATAATGCAATAATTAACACATTAATTAAAGGCAATAATTCAAGATAGATTAGGTAATTTAAATTGTTAAAATGTCATAACGCGCATTAAAAAACATTATAATTGGTATTTCCAAATTTGTGTCGTAATTGGCATTTGTCTCTTAACATGAAAAATTAAAAAATTTTAAAAACACAATTAACAAATACAAATTTTCAAGCAATTTTCTCTTCCAATTCTCATTTATTCAAAGAAAATTTACTATTAAACTTTTATTTCTCTCATCTAAAAAAAGAACGAGTGACACAAAAAAAAAAAATATTCTATACAACTCTTATTCATTCAAAGTTTAATTACGCGAAACTTTTCATTCTCTTTTGTTCTACTCTTTTATAAAAAGAGCGCCCGATGAAATAAAAACTTTTCTTTTTTAACATATAATTATAGTTTGAGATAAAATTAAATTAGAAATAAATCAACAATGAGCAAAGCAACGAACAGATTAATCTGGAACTATTTTGATATTTATGAAAATAATCAACATAAACAACATTACCAACAACAGTTATCAAATAAGCAACATAATCTCACATAATTTTAGGGGCATTTTATTTTTATTGCTTAGTCGTTCTAAATAATAAGTAAATTTAGTTTTTTTACCTACATTTGTTATAAAAAACTTTAGAACCCCCGTCATTAAAATAATTTGTTTTAAATATATTTCGGCGTGATTATTCAAACTTATTTTTTTCGTTTGACTTTCCGAACTTCATGCAAAGCAAATTGAAACGAAATATCGTCTAACCAAATAAAAAAGCTGTTACTAATTTTATACGGGTAATTAATGTAAAACAATTTTTGAGATAAATATTTTTTACTTAAGTAAACATTTTTAATTTTATACAGGTAATTAATGTAAAACAATTTTTGAGATAAAAATTTTGAGATAAATATTCATAATTTATAAACATTAAATATATGGCGCAATAACAATTCATAGCAACGAACCAGCATAAAATATTAAAGGTTTTTAATATCTTTTTAAATATTAAAAGTAGAAAAAAAAAAAAAAACTAAACAAATAACCAAAAAAAACTTCAACTAAAAATAAATAAAAATATTTCCAGAGTTTCTTTTGTTAAAAGTCTACCGTGACGTCAAATACTAAAACTTTTATGAATTAAACGCGCTTCAAAGGAATTGCCTAAGTCTGTAGATTGCGACGCATAATTTGAAGAATCCGAGTAGTTGAAAAAAATAGAGAAGTCAAGCTTCGGCAAAAAAAACAACATTTGTTTTTCACGGTATGCATTCATTATTTATTTTTAATCAAAAAAATTTGGTTCAACCTTTTTTTTTAACATTATCTTTAATATGAACACAACATGTGTTGGGAGTTTGGGATCCCTTTAAGGGGGTTGCCACAAATATTCTCATAAGTAACAATTTTAAAAATCAATGTATAATATGTGCAAACACATATTATACAAAAATATAAAGTAGTTGCTAGTTGCCTTTAACCATATATATTAAAAATAGGAAAAGCATATTTTAAATAATGAAAGTCTATAAAGATTAAATTTTCTTATATTTAAAACAACTAATTTCTATAGCTGTTTTTAAAACTATATTTTCTAGAAATGAAAAAAATATACTGTATAAATAGTTTATAACTTACTAAATTAGTACAGATTTATCAAATTTTGCGTTTTTGATAAGGGCTGTTTCTCCATTAAAATTTTTTTTTTGAGATAAGATAAAATGAAAACTGTTTAGCATTTTGACTAATGTTTGATTTATAACTAATTTATCATTTATGTTGGTGAAAATAATTCTTTTTTTTTACAAGCTAAACAAATCCATGACTTTTCAGCATTAATTTTATTGAATATCTCATCAGATATATTTTCACATTTTTTATGGTACCATTCGCTGCACATATCACATTGTACCATATGAAGATTAGTATCTTTTGCATGATACCATACCCAATTTGAACAGCATGAGCAAGAAATTTCTAAAGTGATTATTTTTTCTTCATTGAAACGTGATTTTGATTGGCAAACTGGAAAGGCAGAAAAATGTCTTTTTTTAATGCATTCAATAAAATGTTTTCTAACTTTGTCTTTGTCTAGAGATAAACCTCCAATATCAAATTTGTGAAGTATGTTTAATGCATTAGCAATTGCAAAAATTCCACAATCCACACCATTAGTTTGTTGTTGACATTTGCGTACATGGATAGTTAATATTTTCCCTTTTGTTTTGTATATATTGCATATTTGCTGCTTAACATGATCCTTTACTTGGCCATGGAAAAGACTGTCATAGTAGAAAATTGTGTCTGCTGGACAATTCACATTAAAAATGGTAATCCAATGATATTGCCCAGTATATAATACTTGAACAAAATCATTCTTTTCCTCACGAAACATATATTTTTCACCTAAAATTGTATCTTGAAACCCAGATTGCATATGAAACTGATTCAAAAGAATTTTTTGGGCAGCATTGATACTTATATCTGTCAGCATATCATTGTTTTCAATAGTATCAATTTCAGTTTGTGGTATCACAGGCAGGTTGTTGTCTAACATAATCCATTCAATACTTTCTTCTGTATTATCTGGTTGAAGAATTATATTTTCACTTGCATCTATTTCTTCAGATTTAACTAGGACTCCATGATTTTTATTTACTTCAATTTTTAAACTGCTTGAGGCTCTCAACTTTTCTGCACCAATTCCATGCCGCCCTGAATATAATGCAACTTTTTTTCTTAAGGGAATGCTTAATACTTGCAACTGACGTTTATTATTTTTAACAGGCTGTAAATGAATACCTTGTTCAGGGTTATTTTATGCTACAATCAGCTTCTCTGTCTTCTACTTTGTTGTTTGTAAGTAACAGTTCATTTTGTGGTAATAAAGGTTTTCTTTCAAAAGAAATTTCTTTATCCAAGTTCAAAAATGGTGAGTAAATGTATAATTGGGATAAATTGTACCAAGACCATGAGGGAAATTTATTAAAAACTGCAAAGAAATGCTTGCAAAGATACCCAGTTCTTTTCCAATCTTGGCAAGTGCAATTCGGCATAGTGACTGAATCGCCAAAGCTAATATGATGGAACTCAGCAGAGTTTGCAAAAGATGAACATGCAAATTTTCCTGTCTCTTTTACAAAAACTCCAGACAGATCAATATGCGAAGCTAGAGACATCTTTTGCAAGCAATGTTTAACAAAGTGTCTTGGTCTATGATGCAAAAATGTGGGTAAGTATGAACTATATCGGCGGAAATTTCCACTTTGTCTTGTATTAATTTCACAATACCTAAATAAAAATGTATGTTTTAATATGCTGTGTCAAAAAATAGTGTAGCACTAGTATTTGTTACTTAGCAAATTAAGTGAAAAATTTAAATGTTTGTTCACTTTTAAATTTTGTTAATGGTAGTTTACCTAAATCAAAACTTAAAATTTTAATAAAATAAAAAAAAAAATTTTATGTCAGAAAATCACTAGAGTAGACTATCAAAATGTATATTTAAGATAAGTTGTATTATTTGAACTTTTTTAACTTTATAAATAAATAGTGAACAAAACAGTTAATATAGAACACTTTTGTATATTTAAATAAAGAACCTTTGCATTATTTTGATAAAACTATATTTAATATAGTTTTATCAAAATAATGCATAATGCATAAAGATCATAAGATTACTTTTTTATTAATAGCCTATACTATTACTAAATATTTTCTTCTATATATAAAAACAAAATAAAATACTAATTACCTATTATATAAATCTGGAAAGTAGTTTTCAATAAGAATAGTAAGCATGGTTGATAAACAAGAGTTACTATGCTTTTTCAGATATGAATGTTTGAAGGTTTCATTTTGACGTTCAACTCCATTGTTAGTATTGATACTGACCATTAATCTGTCTTTACGATATAAGTATGCCCACCTCTATAAATAAAATGGTACAAAATTATATATGAATTTAGTGTAGAACTTGAAAAGAAATTTTAAAGTAAAATAAAACCTCAATATGTGGTAACCATTGCTTTTCAAGCCAATTAAACATATTTTTGTGGTTTGGATTTAAATAATGTTCACATTTTTTTAAGTTTTCCAGAGCTTTTGCTAAATCAACATTTGATTAAGCTCTGGCAACTTTCCTTAACTTGGCTAGCATTTCTACTTTAATGTCACTGGCACCATTATTTACTTTATTAAACCAACGTTCCCACGCTTGTTCTCGATGAAAGTCACATGAGAACTTGGCACTCTAAAAAATTTGATATACGAGTTGAAACTTGATTTACTTAAACATAAAACCACTCAAATATAAAATGATTCAGCAACTTGGTGTATTTAAAGCAATTTTAAAATATTATAGGGTCTGTAAGATATTTCATTGACTACAACATATTTTTGTTAAATGATCAGGTCAGTAAATTATGAAAAGATGAAAAAAACTAAAATAAACTTTGCGGTATCATAAAATATAAATGTTTATAGCAAAAAACCCTAGACCGAAGATTTTTTTTTTTTTTTAATTTTCTTAAATTCACAATCGTTTGTCGAAATTTTAAAAAGGTTTTAAATACGTTTTTTAGGTGAAATGAACATTATAGTTTAACAATATAATCTGTTCTGATTGGTTATTGCCAATTTTTATAAATTATAAGCTCTTTTATGGTTAGAATTCTAGTATTTTTTGTGAAAATTGATAGAAATATTGTGTTTTGACAATTATATATAGTTAATATACGTCAGAACTAGTGATTTCGCCGGTTATCCGGCTTTGCGGTTAATCGGATTTTGCTCAAATATCAAATATCTATTTTCGAATAATAAAAACTGACTTAAAAATTTTACGAAATTTTATAGAAAGTAAAATTGTAATTATGACGATTATTGTTTGACAAATGTTAATTTATCAAAGATTATATTTCTTTTATTAATTTAAATGTTAATTTAATCAGTTTTGTTTGATAATATATTCTTAAAACAAATTACAATAGAAATCTCAAAGATTTATTTATTACTTTTACAACTCAAGCAATACATTTTTAAGAAAGTTTCTTCAGAATATTATGGAACTCTAATTCGCTTATTCAGCGTATTTTTTGAACCAATAGAATTTGTTTATTCGTAGATTTGGCGGTATTTTAGTGTTAGCAAATATTCTTTATATTATCTTTACGCAACAAGTTGTTTTGAGAAATTCAAGTTTATCTTCAAGTTTCCATCTATGTCCGCATAACAAAAAGTTTTTAAAATACACGCTAAAAAAATTTACTTCATAACATCTCATTTTTCCAAATCAAATGTTTTTATATGAGAGAATGATTTTAAAACATCCGCTCATATTAAAACATTTAAACTTTACTTGTACATTATTCCTACCTTTTTTAATTATATAATTAAAAAGGTATATTAAATTATAATATAAAAAATATATATATCTTTTTCCATGTTTTGTTATAAATATATAATTGTATATAAAAATATATATTGTACTCACTGTCTTGAAAATGTACATTTTAACATTAATTTTTAAAAAATTAGTTTAAAACGCTATGTTCGTTGAAATTTAGAAGATCCTGTATTCAGAAAGCGTCACTAATTTACCGAATAATCGGTAACCGCAAATTGATGAGAACTGTTATCCGGTTTTTGAAACGGATAACCGACAAAATCACTAGTCAGAACCAATTAGAACTAAGATCAATAGTAAATTAAAGAACTTTTTCAAAAGATTTCAACTAAATTCATGTTAACCCTGATGAGCAGAGTTGATCAAAAGACGCAAAAATGGTGTTCTTTAGATTCACTATTATGGGTAGTAAAAAGGTTTAGAAAATTATGTTATAAAAAAGGAAAAGTTTCCTTAAATATTGAAAAAACCTAAAGCAAAAAAAAATTATAATATTTGAAGCTCTTTTTTGGACATAATACGCTGAAAAAACCATGCTTATACCAAATAAACGAATTAGAATAACTTGTAAATTGCCTTAACTACACTGAGAAGGGGAATAAAATATGCAGCTTATTAAAATCTTGAAATACCTTGATGTAAAGACTCAATAGCATTAATTTCTTCAGCACAACAATCAACCATAAAATATAAAGGATTCCAATTAGGATTCCATTCTTTTATTTTAGCAAGACCACTTTGAATATTTTTCGTTGACTCTCCTTCACAAATAAAGGTACCAACTATCTGATAATCGACATTGGTTTTTACAACAAGAAAAAAGAGTGGTAAAGAATATTTTGTTGTTTTGTAAGTGGTATCCAAAAGGGTAATTTCATTGCCATATATTTTTAACAACCTCCGCATTTCTTCAGTTTGATAAACAAATAAAAAACTATTGGTTAATGCTTCTACAACAATCTCATCCTCATCTTCGGTGCTTTCGACAGCTGAGCATTCAACTTTGACTGCATCTATATATATAAATATGTTTATTTAAATGTATGTGCATGTATGAATATATATATATATATATATATATATATATATATATATATATTTATATATATATATATATATATATATATATATATATATATATATATATATATATATACACACACATATATATACACACACATATATATATATATATATATATATACATACATATATATACATACATATATATATATATATATATATATATGTGTGTGTGTATATATATATATATATATATATATATATATATATACATACATACATATATATACATACATATATATATATATATATATATATATATATATATATATATATATATATATATATATATATGTGTGTGTGTGTATATATATATATATATATATATATATATATATATATATATATATATATATATATATATATATATATATATGTAATATATATACTCCTAGTCGGCGTTTATGGGGATATGTTTTTTTTGTTCTCGTTATGTTTGTTGTTTTTTACTTTTTTTTATGATTTTTATCATATTTATATATACTTTGAAATTTTTATTTTATTTTAATTGTTATATATTTAAATTTATTACGAAGTATATTTGTTATATTTATTTTTGAAATTTTTATCTATTTATTATGTATTATATTTCAGATTATTTCAATCTATTTACAAAATCAATTAATTACAGTAACGAAACCATATTTAAACCTTGTTCTAACCCTAACCCCAACACTTGATGCTGACCCTAACCAAATCTTCAGTCAATGTAGCAACACTCCCTTGCGAGTCAGGCTATATGACAGGGTTGGAAAAAACACATGGTTTTTAAAAGAAAACCTTATCCAAATGGTTTTTTTTTAAAAACCGATCAAAATACCAAATTTTTATAATTGTTTGAGTACAATAATTTTTTTTTTAATTTCATAAATTCACCTCCCGATTTGCTCCAATGACCACTTCAGTCAAGGGAGCAACTCATTTTTTAAAAAATATTTTGTCTCAATCATTACCATTTTTACTAACAAACAGCATTAACAACTAAAATTTTTATAAAAGGCGTTGTGCGGAGAAATAGATTGAGGTAATTTGAACCCCTAGCTTCTGATAGCAATGCAAATGTTTTACTACAAGACTACTAGCACATTTTACCCGTAGTGCAAAAGGGGACTCCATCAACTATAAATGATGTTAATTAATTGCATTAAATTAAAAACATGTTCACAATATTTTTGACTAAAAAAAATTACTATAAAAATTATTATGACAATTGAGTTATTCAAAGTTAGTAAGACAATATAAATGTTGCAAACTAGTTTTTTTACTAACATGTTCAACATATCATTTCATAAACTACTTTGCACAAGCTTACAACATGTAATCAATAAGTTTGCAACATGTTGCAACCTTGTAAGTTATTGTCAATCAGGATGACTATGAACACTTTTTAAGCATTTTTGCATCATAGAAAAAAACTGTTAGTCTAATCACTCAATTTTTTTAAATCTTTTAGAGGTCAGGTCTTTGTATCAAATAATTTTTATCAGGTCTGTAAAAATTATTTAATACAAAGGTCTGACCATTTGAAACAAGGTTGGCTATTTTTTGCCAACCTAAAACACTTTCAGGTCAGCAGTTAGGTAAGCATTGCCGAATGCCGACCCTAATTATGAGGGTTAAATATTTATACATATATACATATATATATATATATATATATATATATATATATATATATATATATATATATATATATATATATATATATATATATATATATATATATATATATATATATATATATATATATATATATATATATATGTATATATATATATATATATATATATATATATATCTTAGGTTGGCTCATAAAACATCATTTATTGAAATTGTCTGCTGGTACCCCAAAATGTATTCTATGTAATAAATTAATACTAAATTAAAAAAAAATTTGAATTAATTTTTTTTTAAGGGTTGCTTCATTACTTGAACAAGAGTCTTAAAAATTAGATTTGTTAAATGTTATATATAAAAAAAATATTTTTTAAATTTATGTTAACTTGGGTCTTATTAGAAACCAAACTTAAAAAATAATAAACCCTATGAAAATAAATATAAAAAAAATATGAAATTTTTTTTTTTTTTTTTAGGTTTCGTTAAAAAATTAGCGCTAGATTTAGAAGTCTGATTTTTTGAAATTAACAATTATTTTAAATTTTGAAATGTAATGCAATAATTTATAATTGAGACTTTAATTTAATGAAAAGCATAAACAAGGTTCTACAGTAGTCTTATACAATTTTAAACAATTATAAACATGTAACTACTATTCATGAAATACAATCCTTTATTTTCATGAATAATGTGTATATTCACACATTATTCATGAAAATAAAATATTGTATTTAAAAAAAAAAAAAAAAAAAAAGAAACAGTTAGTATCTGGGAGCCTTATTTTAAATACATTTTTTTTGTAGAAAATAAAATGTTATCAAAATAAAAGAACAGTTATTTATATAGCGCATTTGAATTTTTTTTAAGTATTCACGCTAATCTGCACAACAAAAAAAATCTATAAAAGCTTCTTTTTTAAATATAGTGTTTAAAATAAATATAGTGTTTTATTATTTAAACATGCACAAGGAACACAAGGGAAAAATATATATATACACATTTAATTTGTATATCTTGGTGAAAATTGAAGTTAAGTAAAGAGAGATTACAGTAAAATACTAAATACATACAATTTTCACTTATCCCTTTAGGTTGAAGGTAAAATCTTCTGTGAGGATTTTCAACTTTCCATTGTTCTACTTTTTTTATAAGACATTCTTGGTCAATATTTGAATACCTTTTCTTTCTTATTGCTTCCAACATGTAAGAACGAATAGTTTTTTTGGATGGGAAGAACCTTTTATTTGATTTAGATGGACATATACTATTTTTAAAAATTTCTCTTGTCACAATGATTTCTAATCTCCTACGCATTTCATCAACACTAGTTATAAATTCAGACGATGTAAATATTTCTTCTTTTAATCTTGCATCAATTGGCTGGGATATACCAGCAGCCTTGAAAAAAAAAAAAAAAAGAATCATCAGAAAATTTAAACAAAAAATGTAAAAATCTGAAGATAGTTTAAAGGGTGGTTAGTTTCAATAGAAAAAAAAAATTAAATAAAGGGAATAGTCACTTATTGAGTGCCTATAATTAAAAAAAAGAAGAAATTTTAACAGAAAAATGATTAAGATATAAAGTAAGTAATAAAGAAATTAAAACATCAACACTTTAACACTAAAATAAAGGAAATAAAAATCAATTGTAAATACTAGGGATGTACCGAAGCTTCGGCTTCGGCGTGCCGAAGCTTCGGTTCGGCCGAAGCCAGGTCAATTTTTTGCCGAATCTTTGGCTTCGGCAAAAAATTTTAATTAATTAAAGTTATAAGCTACTGTGGGACAAGTTATAAAAATAAGCTAATTGCCAGTGTCTAATAAAGTTATAAATTTAGGACTACAGAGTTAAAGTTGGAGTCTATACCATATACTTAGTATTATTTACTCCCAAGTGTCTTGTTATGGAGGGGATAATAATAAATAAGTAAAAATATTTTGAAAAAAATAATAAAATTAAGGAAGGTCCTCAAACACTTTGAAAGCTTCCAAGTGTGACTTTAGATGAACTGAAGCAGCATTTCTATGCAGAATAAAAACCTTATAATTTAAAACAAATTAAAAGTTTTTAAAACCTTAATAACGAATTCATATTAATTATTGTGAGGGATTACCGCAAATAGAACAAAATTTGGTTTTAACATTAAACCGATAAACCTTAGTAATCTCTCTTTAAAGAAGATTAAAGATACGTTGCTACTATTTTAAATTGTGTGTATGTTTAATTTTTTAAAATTTTATTTAACCATATTAATAAAAATTTACAAATTTTCATCGTAAATTTACAGAAATTGGTTAGGTGTCACTTATATAGATACAAAATAGTCAATGGAGTGACACATAAAAAACAAAAAGTTCTCAACAACAAAAAAGGAAGAAAAGCAAATGAAATATAAACGAGGAGAATAAAAAAAGAAAATAAAAAGCCAACAAAAACTAGATAAATTAAAAGAAAAAAAAAAACAATGATAATAACTATCCTTGCTCTTTTATTAATATTATGAATACTTCTAAATTGAATTTATATATTAAACATATAAACCAATATTCTGGTTTCTTCTTATGATATTATGAAGACTTTTAAATTTTATTTAAAATAAATTAAAGGTTGAAGCTTTGATTACTTTGAACTCTTATATTTATCATCAAAATTTGTTTAAATTAAATAAACAATTTAAATCAAATAAATATCAGCCTGCTCAGTCCCTGTTTATTTATAAATATAAAGTAAATAATAATATAATTATAAATAAAAAGTTTATAAAGTATTCTATTTATTATTTTATTTAAAGCTCACTCTACAGAGTTGTTAGATTATATTGGAAGTTTTTATCACAGATAGTTAATATTTGATTTCAGATACTGATGCAGATTTATCCATTATAGAGACAGAAGAAGAATGAATACTAAGATTTCAAAGTATAAAAGATTAAAAAAAGCTATAGAAATTGTTATGTAGTGTTAAGTTGAAAATAATCAAAAAAAAAAAATACTTAAAAGTGTGTAAAAAAGAAGTTAGAGAGAAATCTATCATTTGTACTTTTTTTTAACAGCAGGAGCACAACAGTTGTAGAGGAATCCAAAATGGTCTTAACTTGGGTTTTTTTTAGTTTAGAAATTGTTCGTTTAAAGAATACAGAGAAGTAAAAAAAAGATATTGAAATAAATAGCAATAAAAAGATAGTGTGTTTCTAAGATTTTTTATGTTGTAGATACAACTAGATCAGTTGAGAGTGTTTATTTAAGGAAAGAGTGATCAAGTGCAAAAGATAATTTTACTCTAGTAATGTTCAGAGATTTTTATCCACTTCTATTTAACAAAAGGTGCATTAAAAATAAAAATAAAATATACAGCACATGAAAAAATGCTATATAACATTAATATGGTTTGCACACAGAAAAAGTAGAACTAGAAGTAGGAAAATTTGGGGAGAATGTTTCAAAAAAGCTTAAGTTTAAAAAAAAAACGCTCGATGCGGTCAAGTATCAGAAACGACATAATGAGAAACTTTTAAACAGGGGCGCTGAGAGCTTTTGCCCTGCCTGGAACAGCAACCCTGACTGGCGTCCTCATTTTTATACAATTTTTCTATATTATTAGTCAAGGACCTTAGTTTTGGTACCTTTTTTGTTTTACACCCCTGCTGATCTGAATGCTGATTAAATTTTAAGCATATATAGTGCCGAAGCTTCGGCTTCGGCAAAGTGGCTTCGGCCGAAGCTTCGGCTTCAGCAAAATTTCAGCTTCGGTACATCCCTAGTAAATATATCAATATAATTTTATACAACTTGTGATTAAAATTAGTTATTGGTAAAATCAGATGTTATAAAAATTATTTACATTTCTAGTAAAGTGTCCAGTGTGAGAACTCATCGATGGAAGAAAAATTAAAAATATTTTTTGTCCCACTGCTTCATTTTTTGAAATTGCTTCTCGAATTTTTTTGGAGGAGGCTACTCTTTTCCATTTACTATCTTCTATAATCTAAAGAGATATTGCACTTTAAAAAAATTCTCAAGTATTTTTTCAAAAAGCTATTTAATATTTTTTAGAAAGAAAAAAAAAAAGATTCTTTTGAATCATTAAGCAATATAATATTATAGGCAAGGGAATTAGGAACCCTTTTACTAACATTTATTATTCAAATATTTATTAATGTTAATTTATTATTTTCTAAATTAAATAAAACTAATATAATTTAAAAGAAATAAAACCTTAAAATCTGGAAATTTTAAAACTTCTTTGATCTTTATTTGTGAATACAATTAAATTTCTTTGTGTCCTGGATCATTTCATAGCTTTTAAAGTAACTGTGATCAGATACCTATTATTATTGTTATAAACATTTAGTGTATATTGTATAAACAAATATACACTACAAAATATAGTGTATAAACATGTATTTTATCTATAATTGAACCATTAAAGTTTTCAAATTTATGATATACTTATATAATATATAACTATAAATAAGTATATGATATACCTTATATAATTATTTAAATATAAGTAAATATTGCACATTCAAGATACCTTTCTATCATTGCAACGCATTTTATATTCTTCTTTAAAAGATACTTTTCTATCTCTTCCATGCATACAGTCAAAGACTTTACTTCCTACAATCACGAATGGAACACCATTAAAAGGTACAGAGTCGTCCTCCCATCTTATTTTGTGGTGTTTGACAGAAGCTTCTTTAAACATATAAAAAAAACACATTTAAAAAAGGATAAACAGGATATTTACTAGATTTTTTAATAAAGTTATTTATTACTCGTTTTGCTTAATACTACAGGAAGAACTATTTTGTTTTAATTTTTAGTTAGATATGTATAAAGAAACCTATAAATATCACAAAAAAAAAAACAATGTGAGCAATATCTTGGCAACTGACAAACTTTTTCTTACCTATATTACCAAAGTTTTTGTCAGCAGAATAGCATGAAAACTTTGACACAGTTTCTGTTTCATAGTTTTGAATTAAAGCGAGTATTTCCTCGTATGATTCTGCACATATCCACTTTTCTTCTAAAAATATCATATACTAATAATTACTTTAATAACTCAAAATAATAAAAATAAAATAAAATTATCAATTTTGGAAAAATAACAAATCCACAAAATACATAAAATTATATAATATATATTAAAAATTATATAATACCATAAAATTATCAAATTACCATTAATGAGATTAGATTCTTGTAACAAACTTAAACTCTTATCGTCTCCCGATATCTTATCATATGAAAAAGAAATATTATCCATTTTACAGTAATTATTTTCTACTTAATCCTTCAAGTTAATGTAATCCTTTCGGCTATATAAAACAAACAAAAAAGCATGGCCAAAATTATTAATAAATTTAATTATACCAACAAAAAAATAATTATTCATGTAAAAAATAATTATGCGAAATAGATTTACGAGTTTTGCGGACTCTAAGACACCACCTGACTTTGCGGTATGGAAACTTGCACCTACCTTCCGAATGGGATATGATCTAAACATAACCGATTTGTGCGTGGGAAAGTTCTTTAAAAACTTTTAATAAAAGTATTAATGTATTAAAAGTGAAAACATTAAAAGATTTTTTTGCTATGAAAATATGTATAATTTTACAAAAATTTATATGAATTTACAGCATACACAAATTTTGCATATTTTATATAAAAATGCAAAACTTGTGTATACTGCAAATTTAAATAAATTTTTATATGAATAATATATATATATATATATATATATATATATATATATATATATATATATATATATATATATATATATATATATATATATATATATATAAACATCAACATATATATATATATATAAAACTTTTTTATTTTATACAAATGCAGAATATATATATATATATATATATATATATATATATATATATATATATATATATATATATATATATATATATATATATATATATATATATATATATATATATATATATTGATAATTAATTCCAAAATTTTACAGGCAATACATGTCATAGAAATTGGTCTAAAATTTGTGGATAACAAAAATTAGACCAATTAACTTAACTTTTTTAAATATTGGACATATTATTGCAGTTTTCCAGATCCTAGGAATAACATTTTTGGACATTGAAATTTCAAATAGAATAGAAAAAGGAATAGCAATAACATTTGCAATTGACTTTAAAAATATGGCAGGTTATCCATCAGGGGATTTGGAAGTGTTGGGTGGAAGGTTTTGTAGATGAGAAACAACAGAATTGTACGAAAATAAAATATTATTTAAAAAATTTCTGTGTTTTGGCAAATCTAAGACTGGTGCAATACCATTGTCGGTAACAAAAACAGAGCAAAAAAGGTTTTTCAAAAGTTGCGATTTTTCACAATCATCTGTAATAAGGGAACCATCAGTTTGAAGTAATGGCACAACAGAGTTATAGCATTTGGATTTTTAATTTACGAAAGAGTAAATCTTTCTCTCTGGAAATGCAATATTTTTGAACTTCTGCATCATATAAACGGGAGCAGATCTTGAATTTGACTTGAGTAGATGGATTATCTGTTCTTTTGTAATCTCTATAAAGAGTACGTTTTTTGGAGGCTAATTTTCGGATGGCTAGAGGTTGGATTTTTTTTTCTATTAAAAGTTAATGGTACATACAATGAGAAAAATTACAGATAGTTTGCCAACATCTTGATTTTGTTTGGCTAGTAAATACCAGTTTACATTTTGTAAATCGGAGATTATAGAGTTGTAATCAGCTTGGAAAAAATTATACTTGGTTGTTTTTTTATATGGTTTATAATTCTCCAAGTTACAATTGAAAATAGTTATGCAGTACTTGTGAATGGGGTAATAGTTTCTCTATTAAAAACGCTTTTAGAGTTGTTGGTTAGTATCAGATCTAGAAGATTGTTAAGTAGAGTATTGTCGGATTCAATTTGGTTTAAAGCATTTGCGGAGCACGTTTCTACAAAAAGGTCATGAGATGAATCTCCAAAACTAATTGGGATTGACCAGTTTATAAGTGGCATATTAAAGTTGCCTGCTATGATGCATGTAGAATTGCAAGTAGAGGTAATTTTGTAAATTACTTTGCACAAAGCTTTGGTTTTTAAAATGCTGATGGCTGCACATGAAGGGTGATAAATGGATGCAATTTGTTTTTTTTGCTTAAATTGATGAGACAAACACGTCGAAATATGTAATTTCATTAGTTAGTAGTTCCATTGGAATATTAAGATTCGTTTGAAGTGAATGGATATTATTGCGCAATAATATAAGTAAACCCCGACCTATACTGCTTCGATCATATCAATATACTTTGAAATTCTTGCCAATCAACAATAAAAAGTCAGATGTATTTTTATTTAGCCAAGTTTCGGTAATAAGTATGATATCAAGATTGCTGTTTTCGAGGAGATGTAGGTAGTGTAGTTTATTATTAATCGATCTAGCATTGAAGTAAGCACAGCTAATGGTATTAAAAGAATATTGCTCAACTTTTGTTTTGTTGTTATAGTTAACTTGATTTATACTGAGTTTAGGATTAATGTGGTAGTTGCATTTACCTGTGTTAATATTACTTTTTTAAATTCTGTTTAGTAAACTTTGAAACAACAATTTTAATGATGGCGTTGCTTCTAATACAGTATCGAAAGGGCAAATTGAGTTTTCCATTCACTTGCAATTAGTTGTTTTTAATTTTTCTTTCTTGAAACAACATTTTCATATTTGATCTCTCTGCTTCATTAAGATCTGGATTTATAAACAACTTAACAAATTCTGTTGAGGTTCTTAAAGATTTGACAGCACGAGAATGAAGATACGGTCACTGGCATTTATTAACTCAACTAAAACTGGGCTATTTGTATTTTTTGGAGGTAGTGTAGTTGAAGTTGAAAAGAAAAGAAGGTTGCTGACATATAGGAAAATTTTTGTTTTAGTTTAAAATGATGCACAAATTCTTGATTTTATTTCCACTGATTTGGATTGAATTATTAATATTTATTTTTTCAACTAGTTGGTGATCACTATCATTAGTATCTTGTTGTGGAAGGCCAAATATTATTATTACTCTTTTTTCTGTATCCTTAACGATATTGGTAATTGCCTTGGAAATGCTAAGTTGTTCCCGGGATTTAGTTTTAGTTTTAAATAGAGCACTCCAGTTTATGTTTGTTTTACTATTGCAGCTATTTTCATTTGATTTATTTCTCAATATTTCATTTTCTTTCTGCAGATTAACAACTCTTATAGTTAATATTTCAACTGCTTTCTTGAGCATTGAGAATTCCTCTATGTTTGCTTTTCTTGGTGCTCCAGGACCTTTCTGTGACATTTTTATTTGAGAGATTTCCAATAGAGTACAAAATTGCCAAACCACCCAGCAACAAACTTTTTTAATTTTTTTAATTAGTTATATGTATATATATTAATCTTGTAAACACAGTGTTGAACAAAAAGATTATGTGTTTTTTCTGTCTATATATACATATATATATATATATATATATATATATATATATATATATATATATATATATATATATATATATATATATATATATATATATATATATATATATATAAATATATATATATATATATATATATATACATATACATATATACATATATATATATACATATATATATATACATATATATATATATATATATATATATATATATATATATATATATATATATATATATATATATATATGTATATATATATATATATATATATATATATATATATATATATATATTAAAATATATATATATATAATATATATATATATATATATATATATATATATATATATATATACAATCAAAGCCTTATTATAATTATGAAACTGTAGTGTAGACCAGTATGTTTTGGTTTGTATAGTCAAAAGACAACGTTGTTTGTATAAATGATTTGTCCGAATCGAAATGTGAAGTTTGAAGTGAAAAATTGCAATATAGCACAACAGTTGGTTGGTATAAGTTTAAACTAAAATGTGATGAAACTACAGGTATTATAATCTATTATATATAAATGATTATTACATATATTTATAAGAGCAGTATTAAAGACCATTTCATCTTTATCAAATCTTATGTAAAGTAATTATTGTATTCTTTTTGTTAGAAATTGGTATAATAACATCAGGTTAAGTAAAAACTTATAAACTAGATTGCATGCATAACATAACTTCAAAGGAGGTTGGTATTTTCATTTTACCGTTTTTTTTTTAATATTTTGTTGCATTATTAAAATAAAATAAAGATCGCTTGCACAGTAGAAGAGAACAAAAACTTAAAGCTTTAGTTAAAAAAGCAAAAAGTAGACTAGTTAATGTAGGCTTTAAAAATATATGAGTTAAAATATACAATAAAGTCATTTTTAAATATATCTACTTTGTTTTGTTATGCTCATATAATGCTCATCCAGAGAGAGGAGCCAGATGAAGTTTAAATTTTGTAAAGATTCTTGTTATATAATGCATGAACATTCTGGTTATATAATGCATGTCATTATACAAATATTATGAAAGTAACAACGAATGTAAATTATGACTTTTTAAATTAACTTTTATTATTCTGCCATCATAGATAATTTTCTTGGATTTGTCAATATTGTACCGTTCATGACAACTTTATGCTAATAGTTTTTTTAATACATAATATAATCTAAATCATCAAGTTGCATAGATGGCAATTTGTTAAACAAATTTCTTATTTTTTTTTTAATATTATTATTTTGTTTATTAATATCATTAATATTATAATTATTTATTTACTTTAATTCTATTAATTATTTATTATATTCTTATTTATAGTATCTATTAAAAAGTTAGGACTTATAAAAAAAAGAAAAAGTTATTAAAAGTTGCTATCAGAATGCTCAAATTAGAGCTAAGGTTTCTTAACAGAGACTTCAAAACAGCAAAAAATTTATTAAAAAGAAGAAAGATAGTTAGGGAAAAAGCTCTTTACGAACAGCTTTTTCCCTAACTTTCTTTTTTCTATTTTTTTTTTTTTAATATTTCAGTATATTTGTTGAGTATCTAATCAGATTTGTTTAGACTAGTTTACATTAGTTTGTCTAATAACTCTAACCTCTTAGTTGTATTCATGTCTTCTTTTTAAGATTTTAATTAAGATTTTGTTTATCACATTTTTTGGCCATGATTTCATTATTTTTTTTAGTTTGTGATTTGAGTATTCCATTAATTTAGTTGATTTATAATTTTATTGTATTTTTACTGTTTTTTTTTTTTGTTTTTTTAAGATTTGGCAGGTTAGCAGGTTAATGGCAAATTAAAGAACATAGTTTTACTTGACCTTATCTAAAACAAAACAAACAAAAGAAAATGGATTTTAAATATTTATGAGGTGTTATTGCGCTTCTCCTACTAATATATATATATATATATATATATATATATAATATATATATATATATATATATATATATATATATATATATATATATATATGTATTTATATATATGTGTGCATATATATTAGGTTAGAAGAATTGCTAAAGTTGGTGGTGTGATTGTAAATCGTTTTAAATAGGTATATTAATTGTTTTTACTATAATTAGTCATATAAATATGTTTTGAAAATGTCAAATGTATTTTTTTTTTATAGTCTTAAATTCTTTATGATAATTTTAATAAAAATAAAATATACAGTGTATATCTCAATACATTAATTATTTAATTTACTCAAAATGGTGTATGCATCTATCCCGCCCCCACACTAAATTTTCGTAAATAGAATACCAAGCAAACTAAAATGTCTATCCACAGTGCCCACAACTATCCTCAGCTGTCCGCTCCACTGTCCACAACTACAAAAAATGTTAGCAAGTGAAGGACTTTTTATTAAAAACTTACTTTTTAATAAAAAGTCCTTTTTTATTAAAAAGTAAGTTTTTTTAAAAGGATTTGTTTCTTTTTATAAAAGGATTTGTTTCTTTCATTTAAAGACTTTCTAATTTTTCTGGGATCATCCCCAACATATTTTATAGCATAAAATAAATAAAATATGTATAGTTATATTGACATAATTTGTTAATAGGCTGATGAATAATCATCTGATGAGTGATTTCAATATGAAGGGTAGGCATGGAAAGCAGCCCTTTGGTGTTACTTGCCTTTATAAAATAATAAAAAGTAAGTTTTTATTTAATGTTTATGTTTGTATGTTGCATATATATTTTACACTGTATTTAAAGTTGGACTAAGGATAAAAACTATGAAAATAAACCACCTTAAAAACCATAAAAAGTGATAAAACCATAAAATAAACCACCTTAAAAGTCATTAGTGCTAGTAAACAGAAAACTATAACCCAGCTTTCTTTTTTAGTTGTTAAATTGTTGAAAATAAAAATATGTTTTTTTTCTAGCAAACGCTCTTAATTTAAACATTTGCAATGAGGAGGATGTCGACGATGCCATTTCAAAGCACCTTAAGCATGTGCCAAAGAGAAAAGGTGGACGTAAATTCACCGAAAAAAATGTTTTATAACGATATTTTAAAATGTTTATGTAACGTAATTGTTTATAAATGTATTAAAATACAGTTATATTTTTAGTCAATATATATTTCTTTAAATTTATTTTGTTTTTAGTATATTTTCTTGTTATTATAACTCCAAAGTATAGTTTAAAAATGAGATATCATAACAACTTACAAGTCGTTGTTATACTTTAAGTTTAATAAAACTTTATTCGTGTTTTTTAATCCATACGGCGAATAATTTCAACGTTGTTTCTCCTATGACTTTTAACTAGTGTGTGACGTTTAACTGTAACCAAAATGCGACGTCAATGTTTAACATCCATAATCCGTAATATTTTTACGTTATTTTAAATTTAAATATTGCCATGTATTTGACGTCGAAACTTAACAGCATTTAGACGTCAAATCTTATTCGATTTTCAACGTCGAAATTAGACGGTGTTTTGTTGTCAGATTTCTACGTCATTCCGTCTTTCAATTCAATACTAATATTCAACGTCAAAACAACGTTAATTTAACCTAATTTCTACGTTAAATTTACGTCGAAATGTTTGCTGGGTCATTGCTATTTTAATTGTTTTATACGATTAAAAAACTATTACAGTTTTATATCAACAGTGAAGTACTATATCAAATAAATTATTTTATTTTTATTTTGGAATAAGTAGTATTTGAATCTGTTTATGGTATTATTATTGCCTAGATATATAATGTAATCTTTTTACACTTATTATACATTTAAGTTTTTACATATTTTTGTTTATATTTATTTTATTAAGTAAATACTAACAGATAAAGAAGTATGCGAAGGATTTAATTTCCTAACTACAGTGTACTCCAAAGAATGTAAGTGATTATGTTTGTAAATAATTTTGTTTCTCTTTTGTTTTTGGTTTTTTTTATGGTAAAGAATAAAAAAACACCTAATATTAACTATTGGCCAAAGCTTATTTCAATATTACTGTCTAAATTATTTGAATTGTGGTAGTTTGATTACCACTGTAAGTTTATTTAGTAAAGTTCTGGTGGATCAAAGAACGAGGAATGATATGGTTTTAACTGGTTTCGATCTTATGAACAAAGTGCATATCATGATTTAAATTTATAATTTATAGTTACCTATTGAAGTAAGTTTTGATTAGGTAATTAATGTATGGATATATGACTATTTTTAGTTGTAAAATATATATATATATATATATATATATATATATATATATATATATATATATATATATATATATACATATATATATATATATATGTATATATATATATATATATATATATATATATATATATATATATATATATATATATATATATATATATATATATACAGTGCCGTGCCAAAAATCCCTTAAACCCCCCGGTTGGGGGGGCTTAGGAATTTGAAGGGGCCCTTTTTGAAAATTAAAATTATGATATAGGTGTTTTTTATTTATTTATAATATTAAAACTTCGTATTAACGTTTGCTTATATTTTCAAATTCGGTAAACCTAACAAAATGATGCATGTATTGACATGCATACAATGATGATTGTATTGACTGGCGAATACAAAGGAGGGGGTGTCCCCAAAGAACTATCAAACTTTACATTTTTATTAATAAAAATTAAAAAAAAAAAGAAAATTAAAAAAATGCTGTTATAAAGTTATGCACACATTTAATATATATACCGTATAATCTCTCTAATTCGAATCTCCTTAATTTGAAAACCTCCATAAATCGATTAAATGCAAAGTCACTGTAAAATAAAAAAAAAACTTTCTGTAATTTTAAAATCATTCTAATTCGATTTTTTATTTTCCCCATTTTTGTTCGAATTAGAGAGATTGTACTGTATATATTTGCCATTATATAAACATTGTAAATGATTAAATGAAATAGTTGTTTAACCTAAAAAATAGGGCCCTTTTTTTTGTTGTTTTTCCGACTACCCTCCATTAGGACCAATCAGTGACCTGGATCCGCCATTGATTGTATTGCTGAGTTAGTGGACGTTTTATTTTAGTAAAACTTTCGTTTAGAAAGTTTTGTTTAGCTTAGTTTAAGTTAAATCTTATGAAAAAGATGCTTTGTATTACTAAATTAGTCTACGCAGCGCAAAGATACAGCTGCCGATTTTTAATTTAAAAAGCAATCTTTTATTCAAAAGATTGCCTGCCCAGGCCAAAACCCTCCGTCTATGTATGTACGTTCCACTACACCAATCCTTAGATAGTCAGTCGATGTATACACACTCTACTTCGCCGATTTCTTGATAGTCAGTAGACGTGTGTACACTAAATTGTGTTTACCCCTATACCAGTATACAAGTATATATTTGCAACTTATAAAAAGAAACAATCAGATTTCGCTACTTGCTGAATTCCGATTGGTTCATTAATAGTCACAATGACTATTAGTGACTTTAGGCACAAAAATTAAAGCAACAGTACCGTTGCGCTAGACGCAGCGTTTAGTTAAATTACAAAACATCAAATTATTATTTAATTCCAATTTTTTTTTTTCTTCTTACTTTTTAATTTTATTGATAAAACTTTAAAGGTTGACAGTTCTTAGGGGGTGCGGGTGGGGCGGTGAGGAAGGAGTGATTTTAAAAACAAATTACCCCCTCCTTAACCGGGGGACGAGCTTGACGTGTTACAAGGGCCCAAAATTTTATTTTTGGGGGGGGCCTACCAACTGTCTGGCACGGCACTGTATATATATATATATATATATATATATATATATATATATATATATATATATATATATATATATATATATATATATATATATATGTATATATATATATATATATATATATATATATATATATTTATATATATATATATATATATATATATATATATATATATATATATATATATATATATATACATATATATATATATATATATATAGTTTTACTAATTTGCCTTTATAGGGCAAATTAGTAAAACTTAAATCGCAAGTTTTAGCAAAATCCTAAACTTTGATAATCTATAACTAAGGATGAGATAAAATACACAAAAAGTTATTTTTTTTAAAACAACTACATCTGTTTGTGTTGAAAGAAAAAAATATGTATATATCTTTATTGCTTAATAAAAGTATATATGTATATATATTTTATTAAGTCTATATTTGAAATTCTTTAGGATTTTGCTCTGTCGCTTAAAGTTGTTAAAAAATTATAAATACAATTTAAAAATTCATTAATATAAACATGATTATAGATCAAAGGATTAGGAACTGTTATAAAGTGTCTAATCCAAATTATTTTTTAAAATCATGTGTTTTTTCATTAATAATCATAATGTTCTCCACCTATTAAGTTAAAGTACTAAAAAAAAAAGGATAAATTGATAGTTACTGGTCTTTTCCTTTTATTTCCTTCAGGAAATACATTTTTTTTTGGAAAAAATTTATTTTGGAAATCTAAATATCATTTTTCCTAAAAAGAGACGATCTTTATTTTTGCTTTATTTTTTAAAGGTTAAACTCGTCAGGTTATCATGTCAAAATCTGGAGCACAAAAGCGCAAAAAAAGCGAAAAACTACAGACAGAATTTTCTGCAAAAAAGTGCAAATTAATTTTTTGTAAGTACAATCATAATGTCAAGGCAATATTGAGTCGTATTTACAAGTTATATCAGAGATAATAAAAGCACAAGGTGATAAAGATCTTGAGTCAAATTTACATAGTACATCGACAATAATGCAAGCACTAGGTAGTCGAGATCTCGAGTCATATTTACAGAATACATCAGCAATATTACAAGTACAAGGTAGTGGAGAAATAGAGTCAAATTTACAAAGTACATTAGTAATTATACAAGCAAAAGGAAATGAAGATATTAAGTCGAGCAATATTACAAGCTCGAGGTGGTGGAGATATTGAGTCGAATTCGCAGAGTACATCAGCAGTAATACTTACAATGCGGTGATGGATCAGGCAGTCCAAAGTCTTGAGTTACGTTTTACTTCTCATCAATAATTATATATGGACATTAGGGTGACACAAAGTAGGGTCGAAAAATAAAATTTTTCAAAAATCAATAACCGCAGTTGCTTATCCTGTTCTACAACATTTAGTTAGTCTAAAAACAAAATATCACTTATTTTTATTCGTTGGAAGTGCTACATGTAATTTTTTAAATATTGAGGATTGGCTGAACTTTATGTCATTTTTTACTGGTTAAAATATGTTTATATCTAAACTTTTGTTTGATCTTACAAGAAAAAAAATACTGTTTATAGTTTCATACAGTTAGCTATTATTTTACAATAATTTTTCAACTCTAGGTTTTAGCTTTACCAGTTCCTTAAACGACATATCTTTTGTTATAAGCTTTCTGTGCTCTCTGACTACCAAAAGAATGTTCTGTCTCTGATCCTCATTGTGGGAACTGTGAACAAAGTTTTCAATTAAACTAATATTTCTTTCTGCGCAATCGTTGGTCACACAAAGATTGCAAACTAACTGAGCAAAATTTTTGTATGAATCTAGCGCTAAGAAATCACTTGAAGTATGCCACTCTCGAACAGATTCGGTGTGACCTGTAAGTATAAAAAATAGCCAACTCTCCTTCGTAATTAAATCCTCTAATTGACTATCACTGGTAACGTTAACAGCAGAAGGAGCTGTAACAGAAATCTCTGATAACTCAGGAATTGGAAATTTTAAAAGTTTTTGAATGATTAAACGCTTAGCATCTGCTTTCATATAAGGATCACCTAACGATAGTACGACAACTTTAGGAGACAAATACCATGTGTGGTTACTCATGCTTTTTTGAAGTGAGTTTCCAACTTCATAGTCCCATTCTGTTTTAATTGTTTCAGCAATTTTGAATGCATTAAAATCATTCAGAACAGCATGCTCTGCTTTGCCTGAGTTAAGAAAGGCAGGTCCATAATAAATAGCAACAATAAATGCTACCCTTGAGACCATATGTTTTTTTTCAGGAGTCAGATATTCAACGACTGTGGATGTCATATCGAGCATTAGAAAATATATTGCATAGGCCATAAACCTTGCATTGTGACAGGCGCCAGGCTGATAGATGTGAAAATTATTTAATTTCTCAGACTTAACATTCATTTAATACGCCAAGTATTCAACAAGATGCCTGTAATCATTCCTAAAATATTCCTAATTTTATTTAATAACTTTAAAAAAAAAAGTGTATTTATGAAAAAACTAATTCATTTTATATTATTTTTACATACCTGGGGAAAATTTCATGTTTTAGTGCATTAGTAACAAACTTTTTAGACTTCAAATAGAGTTTGCAGAGATCACTGCCAACAATAAGGTCTTGCTCAGGAAATCGTTTGAACTTTTCTACAGCACCACTAGCTGAAACTTTAGGAAAAAATTCTGTTATCCATTTCTGCTGAAAATCTTTTAGTAACTTATTCGCAGGGGCTTTAGACATTTCCATTGAAATTGCCTTTAAAGCCCAAGTAATATTTATTTCGGCAATATGGTGTCTACACAATAACCAAAGAAATGGTTTACTAAGAAATCTTGCCATAATAGTTATTGCACCAGATTTCCATCCAGTGTTACTTACTTTGGTGTCAGAACAGAATCCTACAATATAGTCACAAATTTCAAAATATTCTAGGAGATTCATAATACTTATAGCCATATCGATTCCCTTACCACTATCAGTTGGCACAACACCGAGTAAAAGATCATCTTTGGTTTCAAACTCTGGGCTAGTAACAGATACTGATAGTCTATCTGCAGTAGTTGCCTGTCTAGTGTCCTCCTTAATATGCTTTAAAATTTTACCATCAAAATGTAAAACTAACATCTTGTTAGCCATTAAATTAATATATTCATTACGTATCTGGCCTCCTTCCTCTTCTAAAAATCTGTAACGTCGCCTTCTGACAGATTCTCTGCTTAACTTTAGCTGTTTAACATCTCCTCCTAAATAGTTTACTACGCTTGCAATAAGAAGAGTTTGATCTCGAATGCTGAGACCAGCCCTTATACTGGTGGAAGTTGTTGCTGCAATGAGACCTTCACTGGTTATCTCCTTTTCTACTCTGAAATATGATGGTCTAAACTGATGCCTACTTTTTGAGCTTGCTTCGTGAAAATTAACATTTTTATTTGGGACAAAATCTTCCGACTTAGCAATTACATTTCCAGCATCTAAATTAATATAAAGATTCTTAGCTTAGCTATACATTTACTTCAAAAAATTACTAGTTTTGCCTAAAATGTCCGCGCATTATTAGAAAAAATTGTTTATACTCTCTCTTTTTATTTAGTCATAAGTTGAAACAAATATTTTTATGTGTTTAACAAATTATACTTAAATATTACCTAATTGTGATTCAGCTCTTGTTTTTTAAGGTTCTGTAGGTTCCTCACTTGCGAAATTGAAATTTATATCATTGTTAGGAAAAAAGTTGTGATTCCATTGCCTTTTTTCCCCAATTTTTTCTTTGTTGTCACGAATTATCGAATCGTTGCTCTTCTGTACTCGATCTTTATATTCTTCTTTCCTCTTGCATCTATCAATCTTTCTCTGAAACCTTGCTTCAAGCTCTGTGTCAATTTTAGAAGATATGATCATATTTCTGTTAGTTCTGTGCAAAAAGTTGTTAAAACACTAAGCGTAAGATAAGTTTGAATAAAAAAATAAAATTTCTCAAAAAAATGATTTTTTTATATAAGGGAAAAATTAGTAGATATATCATAATTGAAAAATACGTTAAATCTTCGCAAAAAAATTTGAGCAAAAAATACCTTTGATCATCTAAGAAGGCCAAATCCTCTTGTAAAGCAGAAGTATCACGAGGCATTGATTCATCGCGTCTCAACTTCATCTCAAAGTCCTTCGCACTGATGTCAAACAATTGCTCTACCATATTGTAAAAGTCATTTTTGTGGCGTTCGGAAATTTGCTTTTTGATTTGAAAGGTTTTACTGCTGCACAAAGTTTTGTATGTGCTGTATAGAGATTTAAACTTTTTCACTATACTTCTCTCAGAAATTAAGTAATTACTGAAACCAGCAGACTTCCAAATATTTACAATTTGTCGGAGTAAACAGTATTTTTTGATATTTGAATTACAAAACTCGTCTATCCCTTTACATATAACATCCTCTCGTGCTCGAGAACATGAAAAGTTTATTTTAATAGGTTTGAATCGCTTATCTCTAGCTGAGGTTAGGAACAAGTACTATCGAAGAACACTTCTATTTGATGGAAGTTGGTTTGTAGGTAGATAGCTTAAAGGCGAGTTAAGCAGGTAAACAGAGCGTTATAGCTAATTTCTTTTGTTTTCCTCTCTTTGATTTTCAACATTTTGTACGGATATGTAAACAGTAAAAAAAAATCGAAGTTTAAAGTAAGATAATTAATAAATCAAAAGTTGCCAAGCGATTAAACGCAATCCACTAAGTTTATGGTGCAATTAATGTTTTTAAAAAATAGTTGTGAATGACCACAAATGTTTTAAAAACATCTTGAGTTTTTGACACATGTTTTGAAAACTTGCTGAATGATGTGAAAATAATAAAATAATGTGAAGAAAAAAAAAAAAGGCTTGGAACGTAAAATTTTTAAATTTACATGTAGCTCTTCCTGATCACTTAGGGATCTAAAATTTTTTTTGTAGATTTCCGAAGTTTGGTAGAACAGGAAAATGTACTGCGGCTTTTTTTTTTTTTTTTTTTAATTTTGTGTCACCCTAATGGACATGGCATGTTTTGATACATCAAACTTTGGTGATCTTGCCATTTCGGGAATTCCTAAAAAACAGTTTACACAGCATTATCAAATTTTTACCAGATGCCGACATTGATAAAATAAAGGTCGAACTGTGTCATTTGTCATTAACTATAAGATTTTTAAATTATCTTTGCCCTTAGCGGCAACATTGAGAGAGAATGCAGATCAAAAAGATGGCGTAGAAGAACCGCTCTGTTATCAGCATACTAATGGAGCATGTGGATCATGTCCATCTTGTGTGTTACAAACTCTTGCTGCATATAGACTCAACGACAAAACCTATGACAATTTGTATCATATTTATAAAATAATATTTTATTTAACACAAGCCGAATTGAAAGATCGTGTTTTAAGTTAAAGTTAATCAAGATAAGATTGCGAAATTCTATGTAAAATGACCACTTAGAGTCGTATATGTTGATGTCTGTAGAAAAAAGTCTACTTGATAACTTTGAGTATGATACAATCATTCAAAGATATGCATCTTCGTCCTTTGAATTGAGCAAACTGTTTAAAGAATAGTTATTGCTATACTTTGCACTATGCAAATTCCACATCACTTTTAATTCAATGTAATTTCTGTGATTTAACTGTTCCTTTTAAGACCCTCTTTTACAAAGTTGTGGACCGGCCAGTTTTTGCAACATATGTATGGTTGGGAGGGCCATTTTAATATGATGTGGTGCCAGCTAGAAGAGACTCGGCACTTCTAAGAGCTCAGATATACTTCAGTGAGAACTATGATCCTAATGACGAAGATTTACCTTCTGCTATATGTGCTAGATGTAGACTAATTCTTATTAAAATTGAAAAAGGAGAAAAAACAAATAATGATCTACCTGGCTCTTTTGATTTTTCCAAAGTTATTCTTACAACTCTGACATGATCAAAATCTTTTTGCTGTTGCTTTATTTGTGGAGTCACCCGTTTTAGCACAATTATAATGAGCCAAGGATCAGCTGAGGATGTTCTTTTTCAAGTAGAAAGATCTCCAGTAGCAGCCAAAGATTTTTTATTACCTTGTGGGCCAGTTTAAGTGTGTCAGCGCTGTTGGCAGCTAGTTAGCCGTGGAATAGCACATCTAAACACTTGTACTGTTTGAGATGCAAGGGAAAATATTCAGACATTTGTTGGCCAAGCTCCCCGTGTAGCAATAACAATTGCTTCTGATGTGATCAAAATGAATTTTGCAAAAGAAAAAACAAAGCATAACTTTTCTTATTAAAAAGGTGCATCTTCTTAAGCCTTAGGTGACTCAGGAGCAAAGAAACTCATGATCTTGGTAGTTATTGAGTCTGTGAAAGAATTTTACGAAAACTTGAAGTAAATTCTACAGTTGCTTTGTCTTGAAAGTTTTGCTTTTACTGCAGCTGTAGATATGAAACTTGCAAATGCTTTTCTTGGATTAGAATGAGCTGCATCCACACATCTTATGGTGTGAAACCTCAAAGAAAGATTTTGGAAACCAAAAAATGACAGAGAAAATTAAGGACACTTGGAAGGATTAGATCCAATGCCAATAATTATCAGAAAGATCTTAGTGTTCATTCAAGAAAATCAAAGCTCTCGGCAGCAAGCTATAAAAGTTGCATGAACCTACCTCTGCTTGATCCTTCAGATCAAACAAAAATTCTAAATATTTTACCAATTATGAAACTGCAAATGATTTTAGGAATTACTAACAGACTATTTGATTATTTTAAATTATCCTTAGCAAAACCAATTCTTGTTCTTTGAAAGTTACTAACTGGTCAAACAAACTAAGAATTTACAGGCTACCAATACATGGAGGATAATTCGATGGAAACCATGGTAGGCATTACTTAATTTTGGGGTTCTAGAAGAATTGCTTGCAAATGCCAATTTGGAAATAATGAAGAAAAACTTGTTTCTGCATTTAAAACATTTAATGCAGTCAGACAGGCTTTGAGAATGTCCTAATTTCCTATTATAGAGATTCTTTACTTTCTTTTGAAAGAGCATACAAGGCCATTGGAAATTCAATTAGACTTAAAGTTCATGCTATCATCAAGCATCTGACTTTATTGACAAATTTTCTAATTTTGATGTAAACAATATAGAAAAATGTAACCCCTTTTATTTAAAAATGTTATGTTCTATTCCATAGTTTAATAATATAAATAATAGCTTTAAGAACTTAATTTGAATAAATAGTCTAATGTAAAAATAGAAAAAATAAATTTACAATGAACTTTTTTAGAAGTTTATTATTTTAAAATTATCTCTGGGTAACAAATGTTTAAGATCACATTGTATTGTTTTTCGTACATGGGTCTTATTTTTGTGTTATTAATGAATAATAATTATTTTTTTTTAATAGACCAGAAAATTTTTTTCAAAATAAAGCAGCCGAAAAATATAGTGTTTTAAAAGAGTGATGAAAACATTAAAATGATATTAATTTTATCGGACGTCGCAAAATATTTTTCAAAATTTGTAAAAGTAATGTCCATGCATATACGTAAGACCTTGTATAAAAATTTTCTGGGGATATTCTTTTCATCTTATATATCTATATATATATATATATATATATATATATATATATATATATATATATATATATATATATATATATATATATATATATATATATATATATATATATATATGTATATATATATATATATATATATATATATATATATATATATATATATATATATATATATATATATATATATATATATATATATATATATATATATATATACATTTTTGTCAAGCAACCATTTACAATTAAAGATAATTTCCGTAAAATATTTAGAAATATTAAATACAAGTGCATTTCATTATTTATAATAGTTACAAGACCGGAGAACCTGAAGAAGATAAAGTCTTTTCATCAGTAACCTTTGATAATAAAAATTGGAAATAATCGTGTATTGTTAGAAAAAATCATGTAAAGAATCGTGATTGGCAATAAGTTCCATTATGTTCTTTTTAAATTTTTGAGAGGTATTGGCTTCTTTAAGTTTACCACTCAGACTTGTAAAATGGTTCCATAGCATTGGGCTACGATAGGAAATGGTCGTAAGTTTTGATGAACGGAAAGGTTTTTTAAATCTTCCGGTAGATCGCGCGTTGTATCGGTTTAATGTTTTATGGAAAATATTTTCGAAAACCTTCGGCGTTTTTTTTGACTGATGTTGAAACATAAATTGTGTAATTTTGAAAATATTTAACTCATAAATATCAAGTGCCCTCATGCTTTTTAGAAGAGGTTTTGCATTTGTGAAGCGATTTTGAAAATAAATAATGCGTGCTGCATAATTCTGTTGTTTAAGGAGACAGTCGAGTTTAGATTTATTTATTAAGATAAATAACTATTTATGAATGCAAAATATAGTTGAATTAGTGTAGATTTTTCTAAGATTCGTCTGGTTTTATATAAGATGCCAATACTTCTTGAGATTTTATTGCTAATATGATTTATATGAGCTCTCCAGGATAAGTTTTCGTCTATTAAAATACCAAGTAATTTATCTGTGAATATATATATATATATATATATATATATATATATATATATATATATATATATATATATATATATATATATATATATATATATATATATATATATATATATATATATTAGTGTTGCGAAGGTAAAATATACCGGAAAACTTACCAGAAAATTTTGAAAATTTACCGCCTGGTAAATTTTAAAATTTTTTTTCACTTATTTTTTTTTCACTTATTTTTTTTTTTTTTTAATTTTTTAAAGGAAAATTTACCGTCCTCTAATTAAAATTTACCAGTAAATTTTGAATCAAATTTTACTGGAAAATTTACATCACTAATATATATATATATGTATATATATATATATATATATATATATATATATATATATATATATATATATATATATATATATATATACATATATATATATATATATATATATATATATATATATATATATATATATATATATATATATATATATATATATATATATATATATATATTCATATATATATATACTTTCATATTTATATATAAATATGAAAATATATATATATATATGAATATATATAAGGCAGCAGGACATGATTAGATTGTACTGGGTTACATGTTATATACACACACACACACACACACGTGTTGACCAGTCTCACACCCCTTCTTCATCTATTAGGCTGGTCCAGATGTATTTT